TCTGACATCGACAGGTTTAATAAGCGAGGTAGAACTCGGAGCTCAGTCAGTTGTGTATGAACTGGCAAGCATTGCCTACTTGGTGAGCTCTTTTCTATAAATATAATCCAAAATTTACTGTTTGCTTTCAATGAGATTTAATTTAGCAACAATTTAAAAACATCTAACTTTTTGGAGTAGTTTCCCATGGGTTTCAGTGTGGCCGGCAGTGTGAGAGTTGGAAACGCTTTAGGAGCTGGAGAAACAGAGCAGGCCAAGCTGACTGCAAAAACCACCATGTTTTGTGCAGGTCAGTGTGTTTCTTGCATAAATGCTACACATGTCAGACACCTGTTCCAATTAATATAACATGATATCTGAATGAATGACTTCAGGAGGAGGTTAGAAACTTAAGAAACCCATGCCCTTTACACAATTAAAAACTAACTAAATTCAACATTCTGCCAAAATGCTGCATGACATTTGTTGCTGAAAATTGTTGTAGAAGCTGAAACAGCTTAGATTACAAAGCTAGCTAAATTAGATAAAGGGTAGCTAAAAACTAAAATGGAAAAACTAAAATAGCTTAAGGCTGAATAAAAACTAAAAATATCAAAAGCTTGGCTAAAAGCAAAAAATAACAAAAAGTTTAGTTAAAAGCTAAAATAGTTAAAAGTTAGCTGTAGCAATGCCATACTAAAGCTATTAAAAGGTAAGCAGAAAATAACCTCTCCTTGGGCTGCCACCTTATTGTGATGGAGAGGTTTGAGTGTCCCAACAATCCTAGGAGCTATGTTGTCGGGGGCTTCATGCCCCCAATAGGGTCACCCAAGGCAAACAGGTCCTAGGTGAGGGATCAGACAAAGTGCAGGCTAAAGACTCCATGTGGTGAACACAATAAATGGATTCAGTGTTCCCTTACCCAGACGAGGGTCACCGGGGCCCCACTCTGGAGCCAGGCCTGGAGGTGGGGCATGTTGGCGAGTGCCTGGTGGCTGGGCTTTCACCCATGGAGCCCGATCGGGCACAGCCCGAAGAGGAGATGTGGCTCCCCCTTCCCATGGGCTCACCACCTGTGGGAGGGGCAGTAGGGGTCGGGTGCAATGTGTGTTGGGCAGTGGTCGAAGGCGGGGACCTTGGCGGTCTGATCCTCAGCTACAGAAGCTGGCTCTAGGGA